TCCAAATCTAAACTAACTTTTTGGGAATGGACCAGAACACTTTTTAGCAAAGATCTCCACAAAAATCTCTTGAGGAGAATGAAGGAATGAATTTTTTTTTTCCTAAGCCATCAGGGCTCTTCCTCTCAGCCTCTGAACCTGGGAAAGAAAGTACCTGGATTCCTTCCTATCTTAGGTGAAGACAGGAGATTTCAGTGAGGCCAACAGAGAAATGAGTATGGAGCTGAGGTGGCAATCTTTTCAAAGGGCAGCATCTCTGGTGAATAGAGGAAGGGTGGTCACTGCTGATCAGGCTTACGTGTGTGGGTGGGGGGAGTCATTTTAAACCTTCTACAGAACAACAGATTCCAGAGTAATCTCTTATTTTATGTGACACATAAACCCATTTTAACGGAAAGCTCCCCGGTGGTTCAGAGCCTGGGAGGTGCCTGACTGAGGGTGGAGAGGGTAGAAGGCTGCAGATGGGAAGCTTGAAGCTTCCTGTGGCTGGCCTGTTTGTGTGTTCAGCTTGGCTCTAGGCATGGGTCTCTGAGGGTAATGGGTCCGTTGTCTTGGGAGGCATGGAGCTCTACCTTGGACTGAATGACACTTGCAGGGTGACTCTTCTCTACTCCTGTCCTATTGTGAAGTGATGGAGACTGGGCTGTGCTGCAAATAAATCATTCTTTTGTTGCTGTTAAAAAACAAGCAAACACAAAACCCAGAGAAAAGGTATGCATTTTGTTAGATAAAGAAGTTGAATTTTAGAGAGGGGAAAACATATTTAGCAAAGACTATGCCTGAAGTTAGGATCCAAGATCTTTTCACTGTTTGTCCAGCACTTTCTCCAATATTTTGTGATCTACCTATAAGAAGAAAATTATATCGGTCAAAGGTCAGATAATAGAAAAATTATTTTGGATCAATAATGTATCCTTTCAAGTCACATCAGTGGATCCAACACTACATAAAAGGCAAATCTTTGGCTTTGTATTTAGCAGATTCTGAGCTTGGATCCCAGCTGCATCATGAAAACATGGCCAAGTCTTATAAATTTTCAAAGCCCCAGTTCCTTCATGTTTAAACTGTGACAGCACCTGCACATTCCTGCTTGGTTGTGAAAAGATCAGTGGTAACAAATAAGAGATGCTCCTAATGAAGGATAGTTGGAAGAAAGGCAGGCAGGAACAAGGGACCCCCACCCTAAGAGGAAACCACCCTTAAAAGAATTTTACACCTCTCTGGAAGGAGCCCTCCACCCTTTCCCACGTGGTAGGTAGATGACAAAAACCTGATTGGATGACAGGCTCAGGGAGGGTTAATCAGATTAGAACAGCCCACCAGCAAACCCATAAAAACCCTCAGACTTAGAAACTCCCGGTGGCAACTCTCTCGGGTCCCCTCCCTGTTGCAACTCTATGGGTCCCCTCCTTGTTTGTTCAGAGCTTTGTACTATTGCTCAAAAAACTTTGCTTTTGCTTTGCTGCCCACCACTCTTCCTCTGGTCTACCTCTTTATTCTTCTAAGCAGCATGACCAAGAACCATGGGCACCAAAGGAAATGAAATCCTTCAACACTACTAGAGTTACGAACAGCTCAGGATGGCAGATTCCACTCTCCTTGACGTCAAGTGTTAAATGGCCCAGATGATTTGTGGAAAGGGCAACAGTGAAATGTCCAGCCACTTTGCTGAAGGGCCAAATCAGGGGAGAGGCAACAGCAAGGGAGTTGGAAGACCCACCACACGTGTGGATGGGAGAAGACATGACTGCATTCAGATTAGGAAGTTTTCCATCTATTTTGCATCAAGCCATGGGAAGGTTAAACATATTGCTCACAAAGTTCCCTGATCTTATTTCATGCTAAAATGTTGTCACAAACCAGAGCCTACTAAAATATGACATCCCCATAGACAAGAACCATGTCTACTCTATTTATCATTAAAATATTTATGGAATGTTCGTGTGCCAGGCACTGTTAAATGAATGAGTAAATGAAAAGTTATGCCTATCTATTTTGTAGATACATCCTTTCTTTCCAGAACAAATCACAGAGATGATTGAAACAGCAAGTTATTTCTGGGATGGAAAATGTGAATTGTGTTGGGTTTCTGTGACCAAAGTGATTAGAACAAACATTGAATGCCCTCTACAGAACCGAAAAAAATCTCAGGCCAAGTGAGATAAACATTTGAAAAAAAAATTGGAAAACAAAATTATCTCCCACATTGGCATCTCCCAAAGTCATTGCAGAAGACGAAACCTTAGAACTCGGGGGTTGAGATTTTGGATCTCTTTTTTAATTTATTATTTATTTTTAGAGAGTGCATGAGCGGTGGGGTGGGCAGAGAGAGACGTAGAGAGATCTCAAGCAGACTCTGTGCTGAGGGCAGAGCCCGATGCAGGGCTTGATCCCACAACTGCGAAATCCTGACTCGAGCCGAAATCAAGAGTCCCCGTTTCAACTGGCTGAACCACCCAGGCGACCCTGGATCTGTTTTTAAAAGAACACTCTAGCGCTTCCTGGATGTAGGTCCATGGTTAAGTCTCTAACTTTCCAACCTTCATCTCGAAAATGGAGGTAGAGGTAACAACTACCTCAGAGCAATCATGTGAGTGTTGTATGGCCTCAAGTATGGGGCGTGCCTGGCACAGTTCCTGGCACATAGTGAAGGCTCAGTGATGGCGACTCTTGGCTCTTAGAGCCATACCTCGTATCACGGGTTCTGTTTAGGAATGAAGAATCTGGGATGTGGGCTTGGAATCCACTGGAGACTGATTCCCCAGCACCACCTGGTGACCACTTTATCAGGATAGTAGCCTGCAACTCCTAAGGGCAGGAGAAAGCTCCTGACAGTAGGCTACTCCCTCTGTTGTTCAGTATTTAAATGAAAAGACACCCTTTGACACATGGGAGACTTTTTCATCATTATTGTAAATGACACTCATTTACCAGAATTCGAAAAATAACCAAATCTTCTGAGATTATGTTTGAGCTATATTACTTTTCACTTTACTAACTTTGGAAAGCAACAAAAAGGGTTACTTTTTTCAGTATCCCTTTAAAAATGAAAGCATTATCAATTGTGAATTTTACTGGGACTGTTGAGAGTTGGAGAAGCACTCACTTTTCAGAATAAATTATGAAACAGTAAAAAATACATAGATATGAGGTCAAGAAATCATGGATATTTGATATACAAGGGACACCACTATAAATGTAGCTTGTTTCTTCACTCTCTGGTCTTTTTTCTCTTTTTATGCCTTGAAACTAGGGATTCTTCAGCAAAAGCCTATGGATATGTTTCAGGAAGTTCCCAAAGCGTCCTGCAATTTGAAGCGAAAATTTTGTGCATATGTGTAGTAGTGCTGGTATTATCTTCTTAAAGTCTGTAATACCTGAAAAACAATCAAACAGCAAAAAAGAACCATTGCTCTAAAAAGAACTCTGATGGAACTTGAGTAAAATTAATTTCAAGGTCTTCACTCCATTCTTATTTTCTTATACTCCCCAATAATTCTATTTTTCTAGGTTTCTCTTCCAGCTTCTTCTGCCTAGAAGTACAACATGAACTGCTACTCATATGGGGAAAAGGGATATATACAATACGTTCTCAGAGCCTGACACTAGTTGGTTAGCTTTTTCTATATCCTCTCTCAGGTGCTTATAGTATAAAGCATGAAGATGTCACATGGGAAATGATGTTGATACAATAGTAGCCTTCATGTACGTTATCATGCAAGTTATACTACAGGTCATGGAACAGAAGGGTTCACAGGTCAAATAAAGATGCTGAAAGCAAGGACTTATTAATCTATTAAAAACCCATAGCAAGAAAGAAGGTGAAAGCCATGGGGTAGGTTAACTCATTCAGGGTAGTGTTCAAGAGGAATAGAAGGACCACACAGCTAAAAGCTCTGCAATGTTCATATATAGCATCCTTCTCCACTGATTGTGTGATACAGAGATCAGATCTGAAATGTGAGCAAGACAGGCCACAAAGGAAGGAGCTAGTGAAACACGTTCCTTCTGAGAGAAGCAAGGGCAGGTAATTGAAATTCACTGATTAGCCTGATAAGTTGCTATGGGTGCCAAAGGGTGACCAAATTAAGACCCCAAAAATATTGAGTGCCTCATATTTCTTATGTATATTTAGCATATCATGAATACATGGTGCTTCATGTATACTTAGTGCATCATAAATATAGTGTTTTCTTCATCTTTCCATTTCTATTTTTGTTCAGACTCACATGCTCTACTTATTTTATGTCCTAAAGTTTACTTTCTTTGCTACGTTTAACACATTGTATGAATTTCATTTATCTCCTTTGTTTTCTTGTCGTCTATAGAATTAAATATTGACTAACAATAGCAAATATGTATTGTAGCACAGAATATTTGTGGCCCTCGGATAGGAGCTCCCAGTTAGTTTAGATGATCCTGCACCAGAGAAATATAGTTTCTGTTCTTTGCTTACCACAGTCCTCCATAGCTTGAGGAATGAACACTTCTGATTTTGGTTGACCTGCGTTTTAATCCTTACAGGGTCAAGGCGTCAAAAGAAATTTTTTACGTATAACTCTATCTCCTGGTCTTTGCAAAAGATATGCGAGGTAGTTGGTAGATGTTAAGCATGTTTGGAGATAGGAACTGGACTATCTCTGAAGCATAAAGAGTAGGAAGCATGTGTGAGGTTAGGAAGACCTACAGGGTCTCTCCCTACAAAAGTCCCTAATTAGGGGTTTTCTCAGCCCCTTGCATGAATAGAATGCTCCTTCCTCTCCTAGTTTTTGTTACCAGGGGTGGTATGCTGCTGCTGCTGCTTCTTCTTCCTCTTCTCCTTCTCCTCCTTCTTTTTCCTTCTTCTTTCTTCTTCTTCTCCTTCTCCTCCTCCTTCTTCTTCTATTTTGAAGTGTCCTGAAGGAAGCCAGCAGTATACCCAATTAAATACAGAGACTGCTCCCTCCCATCGGTCCCTCCCATCTCTGGAGCAGTGAAGAAAAACACAACAGCCTACTTGATTGCTTTTATTTTCATTTTTTATTGAAAGCTTCATCAAAGAAAACAGAAGTTTAAACCTAACATCCACTGATCTACAGAAAGCCCAAGGAACAGGGGAAATGGTAGCTAATTTGACTGTGGTACAGATGAAAAATTAAACATAAAACCGGAAACACCATAGAGTTACAGAACTTTCCATGACAGAGACAGCAGTACAAAATGCTCTTAAATAAAGTTCAAATTTGAATGATGTTTCAGAAGTTCCATGAAGTCAAATATGGCCTAAAACAAGGGTTTTAAAAGAAGCTGTGTCCCATTTTTTTTTTTAATTTAAAGAAACTGGAATTTCATAGCAAGTACACTTTTACATTTATTCTTTGAAAATTAAGATTCCAATTATATTCCTCTTCTTTTTAAATAAATAGAAGCATTAATTTCCAGAATGGAGAAAACTTTTTCAAGTGTCTCTTTGAAATAGTTTTTATAGTTCCTGAAAAGTATGAAATAACACATTTTTTCATATATGAGGAAATGACATTATTTTGGGGAGGAGGACAGAGCATCTTTCTTAAGAATCTAAGACCAGAGGGTTTAAAATACAAAGCATAACACTAAAGTTACACTTTGGACACTACTTAAATTTGAAATGATCAGAAAAAATCCACTGGAGTGTCAAGGTCATTCACCCTTATTACTGTGATGCAAAGTAAAAAAAATAAATAAATAACAAAACAATGCATTTTTTTTTTTTTGCCAAAGATTTAAGATAGGGATAAGAGTGTATATTTAACCAAGAGATGTTATTATATTCTCATAACTCAATTTTGAGTTGACCTTTTCTTCTGGTTAAAATTTCAATAGTGAACGAAACCAAAACAGCTTTCTTTTGAGGGAAGCCAAATACTTTGCTACAATTTTTTTTCCCTTTGTATTTGCAAGAATACAGCCAACTCTCAATTATTTGCGGTGGATGGGAAAGGGACATTATGGATAGTAAAAATCCGTGGTATATAATGCACTGACTATTTTACTAATGATTTTAAACTCCTTCGGTAAATCGAGACTTAAAGAAACAGACTGATTTGAATTTGATTTCCAAATGTTTCTTTTCCACCCTCACGGTGAAATGCTAATAAAAGGAAATAGAGCAGAAGACCTAACAATTGAAAAAAGAAGACAAGACAAATCTACCAAGTAAATAGTTAGCCCTTCAAAAATTGAGAGTGATTGTATTTCTGCAAGACTCAGTCATTGGGGAAGTTACTAACTGGAGTGAATAAAATGGAAGAAAAGTGTGACTCCGTGGCCCAGAGGTTCTTCCCTCAGACTCCAAGCTTGATCTCACCTCTGCTCCAGCTTTAAATCTTCCTGAGTGGAAGAAGCGTTTCTTAAAATATTATTTTCCCTTTCAGAAATACAAAGAAATGAGTATTGAGAAGCTATCCATCCTTTTTTCATGTGACAGGGAGCATACGTATTAGGGTATAAAACAAAAGAGAAAGAAACCACCAATCTGGGGTGAGCTTCCCTGCCCCAGATGACAAAAGATCTTTGGGGCCACTCAGGGATCTTATATTTAGCTTTGTATTTTCCTGAATTCTGTGCAGTCCACAAAGGACAGGCATGACCAAGAACACTCAGATTAAGGGACCGATTTCATATTTAAGAATATTGGGTAAGAAATGTTAAATTTGAGTTAGACTCAACTGTCTTCCAATGCCACGGTGGATGTCATTTGTAACAAATTGATTCATTAATGAAATCCCATTATCACTCTGTCACAGGAAGGGGGTAGTATACAGAATCAATGAGCCTGTTTAAATTCTGTCAGTCCCTCAGATTGGAGTGCGATGCTGTCAGTCTCAGTGAGCTCAAAATTTTGAAGGATGCCAGGCACAATAACACAAAAAACCAAAATCTCCTCCTTCACTCCCTACTGTGGACAAGATAACGTAGATCAAGTCTCTATGACATGTTTAAACTTTGTTATGAAGTATGATTCCTCAAATGTGCTCAATGTTGTTTATACACATACATAAATATTCCCCTTCATTTGTTTTTATATCATCTAAAAACATAAATCACTGAATCCCACTTAAGAATTTCTCCCTGCTTATCAGCTCATCTGCAGTGGTTCGTGCACGCAAATTAAGAATGAGACTGAGTTGTCAAATGTATTTTTAGTTCCCTACTAACATTATAATCTGTCTAGACAGTCCATTGAAACTTCGGAATCATGAAGAAGACTGCAAAAGTGCTACTCAAATCAAATCTCACTCTTCATTAATTGGGATTTCAGGCCACCATAAAAGATACCTAGGTATATATATTAGACATTGCAAATATTCAAATAATTTTTTTTTTAGGAAAAAAAAGCTATTCTTTTCTTGTCACACATGAATTGAATGACTTTCACACAGTTTTGCAAGGGGTCGATGTATTCTGCAGGGAAAATGACCTTCTGCTCCATCCAGGCTTTTTCTGCTCTCAGCCTTCCGTCTCTAACATGAGTGCTTTTAATACCATGTAGTTTTTCACTAGAATGTGTGGAAGTGAGTCTTATATGCTATCAAATGTGGCAGATCTGTTAAAGTCACAGGAAGAATTGATTCAAGTGAAGCATGGAGACAACATCTGAATGATTGAAATTTATCAAGGAAACAGCCAAACCGAAGTCAGGTAGAGGATTTTTTGTTGTTGATTCGTTTTTAAGAATTTTATGTCACTTGCAAAAATCAAGGTGTGCCAGTCTTCAAGGACAAACAGTCATCAGCACTTGCTAGCATTACCTTTAGCTTACCTAGGGGCCAGGACATCTTCAGAACACATGGCCATACATTGAGTCACTATGCATAATTTGTCTTCCCTGACAAAACCTTATCATTATCAAAAGAAAACCCACTCCTCCACTGACCATGTAACTAGAGTTTGGATAAGATAACTTTTATCCCATTTGGATTGTGGCTTTGGTTTGTTTCCTGATGTTTAGAAGCCTTGGCAATTAAAGTCAAAAGGAAAAAAATGGAAATATCTGAATAAATGTTTGGAAATCTGAGCCAGAATACTTAAAAAAAAAAGAGCCCTAAATAGGATTAGAATCACCATAATATTAGTTGCTGATTAAATCAGGATTCTGATGTCTGCGTATACTGAACACATTTTGGTTTGTTTTATTCTCATACAATGTAATGCTGCTTACCTCTTGATGCTTTTTGTTTATTCCCCCAGACTTGACTCTTAAAAACAATCATTAGGTAAGATGACAGATGCAAATTTGAACATGTGTCATTTTTCCTTCTTTTTTTTTTCTTTTTGGTTTGAAATAAGATATTTTCTAGAATGGTATGATATAAAAAATCCAAACACAAAACACACATGGACACATAAAATGACAGGTAATTTCCCTGTGCCTGAAGTGGCTTAAAAAAATTGAGATCATTGAAATTTCATAGTTGAAAAAAATGTTTCTGAATGTATAAATAAAGCAGTAGTTTTGAATAGAAACAGGAAGTTACCTAGGCACATTCATCAGCCACATGGTAGCTACCTCTTAGCCTCATTGTTGATTGCGTAAATGAGACTTTCTTTGTATCACATTAAGGTTTTTTTGTGTGTTTTTTTTTTACAGAAACAAAAGAAAGCATGTTGGTTTCATATTCAAATGAATTATGCCCAGGATAATCCTTATTTATACAAAGAGTTCAGAGACTGAAAAAGAGAAACGAAAAGCACAGTTCCTATACATGTTCCTTAAACCCCCTGAAACTCAGGAGCCCGCTTCTCAAAGATAAAACTTAAGTGCCACCCTTGAAATACATGAGAAGCTTGAAGGACGGAACAGAAGATAGTACACATCTAGGATTCTCTCTAGAGCATGGAAAACCATTAAGGATGGGTGTCACCAGATGGAATTTCTCTGTAGCAGCACATGCTACATTTTCTTGGATCCATTTGTGCCTCTGACTTGGCTGCAAAGATAGGGAGCCACTTTCTAGACTTGAGCTTCCAATTCATGGGGTTTCAACTAAGAGAACTGGGCTCATTTCTGTTAACAGGTCACAGATAGTTGAATATTGACAATTTCAGAACAGCCAAACTCATTACTGATACTGACCTAATGGGATTATGATTTGCCTTTTAAGTTTTTTTAGTTTTTAAAAGCCTACCATTTTTTTTTTTTTTTTTTTTTACAGTGCACTTAACGCATTTCCCTCTTCCTTCTGGACTAAGACAGGTTCCCCCGACTTAGTTTGTGAGAAAACTTTCACCTATCTAATTCCAATGATCCCTTCAGAAAGCAACTCTATGCATAATTCAACTAACAAAGTTCCATCGGTCTTAATTTCAGGTAAAACTATACAGGTTGAACATGGATTCCATGAGTCAAATATGCAGACATGTTTGTTAAGTCAATCTAATTCATTTTAGACAAAGTTTTGCATCATTCTCAATGCAAATATATCTCCTTTGGCTTTAAAGATTGAGCAAACCTAATTCTTTTGGTTCTTATCGATATAAATCATACAATTTCTTGATTGTCAACTAGCATTTTAAAACTTACCTAACTTCCACTAACAGAATCCTCAATCTGATTGGTCCTACTTGTCTCAGAGTTAAACTGAAACAAAAAGGTCTATTTTTGTCCTTCTTCTGACAACACCAGGGTATGAGAATACAATGACAGGAGGCAAAAGGGAGATATCTTCTCCCTACTTGCAGAATCAAGGTGGCTGTTCATGGCAGATGAACAAAGACTGAGGTGAGAAGACAAAACCTAGAGGCGTTGGACTTGAGAAGGAAGACTATTGTTACAAATACAATGAGACCTTTTCAGGAGACCACTCATCACTTAACAGAATATCTAAGCCTTTTTTTGACAAGTGACCTTTCAGACCAGTTCGGGAAGGACCTTTAGTTCAAAGTTCACAGAAAAGAATTTCAACCTGTTAAACAAGTGTCTCAACTTATTGGTGGCCATCAATACAGGTGTCACTATTCAAGAGAGCTAGTAAGGAACCAGAAAAGCTCACGGAATGAATATAAAGCCGTGCGGCTCTGTCAGTTGGTATCCAGAACTCTTCCTGCTGAAACTGCTGAACACAGCAGGTGCAAGCTTCTACTAGTATCAACAAATGCACATTAACAAAAAAACAAAAACAGAAACAGAAACAAAAACAAAAAAAACACCTTTTGTTTTGCTCTGTTTTGCAGTATATAAAACACCAGTGGAAGGTAGTTTAAACAAACAACAAAGTAAGAACTGGTCCGGCCATGTAGGTCAAATAAAATTCTTAAAAAGAAAAGAGAAGAAAAGGAAAACAACCTCTATCTTCTGGACTGCAATAGGGTGCCACTTCATCTTTGGTATAAAATAGGCCATCCATAGGCTGAATTTGATCACAACTAGGAAAGACTACAGAAATTGTCAACAATTTCTCTATCTATTGCTTTTTTTGTTTTTTTTTTTGTTTTTGTTTTTTTGCACTTTTTGACCATAAGCTCCTATCTACTTAAGTTTTTTTTTTTAATGCTCTTAAGCTAGGTTTTGCAATGTGACAAGCAAAGCTGACTAAAAACTTTGTAAAGCTCATAAAAAAGACTGCAGATAAAAAGCACTAATGCTTTTGCTAGCGATCACGCTTCGTAAATAAAAAAAATCTGCATTCTGCCCCCAAACACGCATTATTTCTAATGCAGTTGTTTTTAAACCAACATTAATAACTTTACCTTAAAATGTTTTAGCCTTCTAGAATGATTCAACACTTAAGACAAAGTTCATGAAAAGTCCCAGCATTTTCCCAATTCTTGCAGTTGCCATGGTTTCTTTTATCAACAAATTTTCTTCAAATGAAGAAAAAACATTTTCTTTTAAACTGTACAGTTTTTTTTTTTCACCCTAAAAACTCATAGTCTTAAACTTCTGTACCAGTTAAAGCCGGCACAATATTTCAATTCTTTCTTGAATTTTTTTTAACAAGACGTTGACAGCTTGCCTCGAGAGCCTTTGACGTCCTTAAAATTAAGGCAATTAAGATTCAAGATAAACCTTACCTAAATATTTCTAAGAAAAAAATAAAATAAAAAATAACCCACTAGATTTAAACAAAAGGGGGAAAAGAAAGAGTAGCTTAATTACTGAGGAAGACAATTTGTTTCCATTTCTGCTTTGCCCACCTCTTGACATCTGATTTTCTGTTAAAAAAAAAAAAATCTGTCTACATCTTCTGGTAAATTCTGAAATCAAATGTTCTTCCAAATATAATGTCAACCTTCTGTGTTTTGTTTTGTTGTTGGTTTTTGTTTGTTTGTTTCCTCTTCTGGGATTTTTTTTCTTTAAAAAAAAACGATGGCGAAAGTAAACTGTCAGACCACATGAAGGAACCATTTGCACAGCACATAAAAACACTTTGTTTTCACTGGGTATAGTAGAAAATTTAAAAAAAAAAAAAAAAAGCATTCCATCGACGCCTGTGCAAACTGGAAGCCAACTTCCTGTTCAATGAAGTTTCTTCGTTCAAGGCAAAGTTTCAGACGGACATTCTTCAGTCTTGTTTATGGTCTGTGGAAACAATTGAGTATGAGTGGTCATTATATCAAAGCAACTTTGAAATCACCTCATGTGCTCTTTTCCAGTGAGGTCTCTTTAAAAGATACCAAGCTCTTTCAATATCTAGAAAATTGTACAAGTTTTAAATCCTGCCACTTTCATACAATTATATATTTGAGCCAGAGAGTTTGTTCACATTAAGTATCAAGGCTAATAGAACAAGAATATTTTTTTGGTCTAAAGTAATAAATACTACAGCATATTTGAGCCAGAGAGTTTGTTCACATTAAATATCAAGGCTAATAGATCAAGAATATCTTTCAATTTAAAGTAGTAAATATGACAAAAATACCCAGACAAGTAATACTCCCTATGTGCACGGAACCTATTTTTCAATGTCTGGCTTATGTTTTAGGTACCCCCAGAAATTCTTTGAGTAATTCTGTCCTTTCAAAACTCCTGTGGGATTCATCACTAATTCAGTCAACAAATGCGCCCATCCCTACTATGTACCCAAGATATAGCAATTGTTGTGTGTTACCCTGTGGTATTCACCAAGTATAATCACATAAGCCTTATTTGACCCAATAAAGTAGTAAGACAGTTAAGAGGGAATGGGTTTTGTTAACTTTCCCTCGTCCCCTCTTCTTCCTTATTCACCCATCTCATCAAGATTTTTAATTCTTGAGAACAGGCACTATATTCTACTACTTTTTACTCTCCAGGAATCTGGCAGACGGTAAGCTCGTAACAGGTGTTTCACTAGACAAATGACATTTTTACTTATGCCACTTGGCCTAGCCTAGCCCAAATAATGTTTTCTCCTTCTGCCCCATCTACAACTGCTGGACTGAGCTTCTAGTGGGTTGACTTCCACACTTAGCTCTTCCATCCACAGACTAGAATTTTGTTAAATAATTTCAGGGATGTGCTATAAAAACTGATTTTTGACACTATCTACAGGTCAATTTATTTATTTTTAAAGATTTTATTTATTTGAGAAGCAGAGGGAGCAGCAGGCAGAGGGATAAGCAGGCTCGCCACTGAGCAAGGAGCAGGACCCAGGACTCAACCCCAGGACCCTGGGATCATGACCTGAGCCGAAGGCAGACGCTTAACCAACTGAGCTATCCAGGTGCCCCTATAGGTCAATATAGATGAAGCTCACTTCTCTCAGTGCTTTGCAGGTTCTTCTGACGCCCAGTTGTTTAATTTACTAAAGAGGACTCAGGGTTGCTGAGGTTTTACAGGTTGTTCACTGCACAAGATGCATGACTGAGAGAGTTTACGGGGGCTAAATTCCCACCCAAAGTCTGATCCCCAAACTGTGTCCTCCGGTTCAGGGCTGCATTTGCTCTGAGCAAGTGGGCTTTACTCAAATTCACAAAATGCCCTTAAGGATGTTTTAAGGTACATGACAGGTAGGCTGAGTTGTTTTTCCTACTTTGCAAAGAGCACTCATACAAATTCGCTACGTCTCTTAGAAGCCTGATAAACTTGTTCTTAGAATCACGTAAGAAAAGCAACTAGTTGATAGTTGATATTTCCATTTTTAACCAATGGTTTAAGTTTCTAGGAATACATAATTTGTGTGTGTTATGTGAAAAAGTGGGGCTTCTTTTAAGAAGAAATGCAATTAAAAATTTCATACCATCAGCAACAATTAGGGAAGCTTTGTTAGTAGTAGTCATGGGAACCATGGTATATATGTGATCTCTATTCCTTTGCAAAGTACAGACTTACTCCATTAATTTCTTAAAAATCGACCTTGTTGTGGGAATAAAACTTTTCTCTTTGTTTGGTTGTGTGTTTTTGTTTTTTGTCTGTTGTTTGCTCCCACTCCCATCTTCCACCTGGTCTTGTTATTCATTTAACAGAAAATGCCTAATACACTGTGAATCTCTGGAACAGCTGTTCCATGAACAGTGTCTTAGTCAATGGGCTACCCTGACATACAACACCCACACTGCTCAGGTATGTCACGTGCACTGGTCTTGAAGCATCCATATTTATGAGCTAGGCTACAGCTACTTTAAAGCTCTAACCTTACCAAATGTTTCCAATGGCCCTCTCCCATCAAGTGGTCTCATTGTTACATAACAAGTGGGGAGCAATGAATGGCTGTCCTTTGCATTTTCTTGGTTGCTAGCTGAAGTTGGAAGGGACAATGTGTTGCTATTTGATAGAACTGAATTCACTCCTATCCACTTTCTCTGTCCTAGATGAGATGTGAAAGTGCACATTTACATAATGCTTATGTATTGCCCTCCCCTTTAGCCCCCAAAGAAAGCAGAGTGAATAGATTAGGAAGTAGCAAACCACAGGCTTAGAATTCCAGACTTTTAGAAGTGGAAAGACAGCTTTGGGATCATCTAAGCCTGCAATGTCCCCCAGTGTCATTCCTGACAGATTAGCTTCATGTGATGCCGTGTGGAAAGAGGGATTCTGTGGTCCAGAGTTTGGGGGAAACTGCACATTATGCTCCCACTCTTGCACTACCCATAGGTAAACTAAACATATAGGAAGGGCACCAACCAAGAAGGGTATCAATATAAAAACAAACTTATTTAAAGAACGTAATCTTTTCAATTAGTATCAAAATAATTATCCTGTTGACAGTGAACATTTTGTTATAGTTCTTTAGTAATTTAATATGTTTGAAAAAACTCTCAGAATTCCCAAGTAGGAAGTCCAGCCTACACGCTAATCTTTCAGGAAGTGAAACGTTTGATTTATCTGGCTCTCTAGGAGGTCCGGCCATTAGCATTTTAATAGCTTTGAAGAGAACTGCAATTAAGAAAGCATTTCACTCAGGTTAGAGGGTGTTTGCCTAAACTCCTTGGGACCCCCCCACCCCCACCCCAACTCCAGGGAATGGTGGTAAATCCTCCCTCAGCACTAAAACCTAATTTACACTCTTGGGAGAACACTGATCTAATCTCTTGCTCTAAAGAAGAGGAAAAGGAGGCTCCAAAGGGCTGAGTGACAACTAGTAGATGGCAATTAGAATTTAACTTTGCTTGTAGACTTGTACTTTTCAAGCCCTTGTCATTTTTAAGATTTTTAAGATTTCTTAAATAGCACAAAGAAAAACTGCTAACTTGGGCAGGAACGGGAATTTCCACAGAACTTCCAAAACAAACTACAGGTATCATATCTGCCTTTGCAGGTAAGAGCCCCGAAATTCCCTTTTGCATGAATAGCCTCTTTTAACAGGAAAAAAAAAAATCGTGAATACAAAATGTGAAGACCTGTTTTTGAGCTTGGAAAGTGGCATTTGGAATAGTAAAATATTTGCTGCTACAGATCCCAAATATAACCTTTCTATTCATATATGCACATCATTTCTACTTCTCAAACTTTGATCCTGCAACCTTCTGTTGTGATGTCTGTGATTTTCTTCAAAATATCTTTAGTATAGACATTATGGTGCTAAATCTATGTGTGATGTGTTAAGCTCCTTTTCCAGGGCACTCAGCTACCCTCGTCCAAATTTCACACCCCACAGGAGGTCAGCTACCATTTAATGAGAAAGGCCAGAGGTTCGCACAAGTACTTTAAATTGTCCGTATCTCAATTAGCATAATGATCGTCAGAAATGGGTTGCCTAAAGAAAGTAGTGGCATGTTAATTAGCATAATGATGCTGGACATCAGCTGCCATTTGTGAAATTTGGAGTATTCAAGATCACTTCGATAGGCTAAAATATTTTAGAGACCCTCTCCACTGTAGGTGAAAGATACAGTTAGAATGTACAGACATTTGTAGCCTTATAACTTTAGGGATACTGCTTGTGGCTTGATCTCAAAACAATTTATTAATTTATTTGTGCCTGCTTTCTTATGAATGCTTCCCTGATAGATGTCTCTGTGGGAACTCTTGCATCCCTCAAACTTTTCCCAGGGATGGTTATATAAGAACCCAGGTGTCTACATGACCCACATACTTAGCTCAATTCCCAGTGTCTTCCTAAATGGTTGTGTAGACTCTCATGCCTTACCATGACACAGATCAGCTGCCCTTGGCTGAAACTGATAAAACCTTGGATAGAGCCACATTCATTTCTTCCTTTTAGAAAATTTCAGAATAGATTGCTATCCATCACTGTATTTGACCTAGAATACTATTTTTGTTTTCATGCAATATATTATTGTTCTCTTTTCAAGTCAAAAAAGCTCCCGGCACTTAGGGAGCATGTCAGAGAGAGGAAGTTGAGAATATAAACAGGACCTGTTAACAATTTTCTCCAGATTTGAAGAAATGTACACGAGGCCGTGCAAGCAGTGTTCACACGGCACACGTTTGAAATGTCCCACGTTCTAGCGTGCTTTCATCCCTGGCATGTTGCCACAAACTCACCCTGTGGAACATCCTGTAACATACATTCCTGAATAAGTGCAAAGGAAAATTCCTCCCAATGAGGAAATCCCTCGCCATAATGCTTACCACTGTGGGGACACACGGGGAGGGTTTCCTTCTTTGATACCCTATCATCTGTGGAAAGGCCCGAGTTATCAGCCATAGGAATCTGAGGTTCAAGGCATGTAACCATGTGACCACGGTGGTGGGGTGGGGGGGGTAGTTTTAAAATGTTTAAACACTTAAAGCTTTCTGTGGTCAGTCTCAGACTTCCTAGGATAGTTCAAGGAATAATGCTTCTTTGAGTTGACTTATTATAAGGATAATTAAATCCCTTATCTTTCTCTACAGATCAGGCCCTCCTTGGTTTTTATCTTATCTGTCCCTGTTAGTAGCATCAATAACTCCAGGGTTTTGTTTGGAATTGTAAAGTCCAGTTTTCCTTTTTCCTCTTACTTCAGTCTACGCCTCCTGCCCTTACCCCCCACCCTCCACCCCATTGCACTTGCCACCATCTTACTTCAGACCTTTGTTCCCTATTGTCTGAATTCTTGCAATCATTGGACTGTTTCCATTGCTTCCAAATCCACTGTTTACCTCAGCTGGAGGAGCATTTGTAGAACAAAGGAAATGCTGTCCAAGCACCTCAGTATGACATCTGATATTAGAATCTGGGTCCAACCTGCTTTTTTTACACTATTGTGCTATTCTGAATCCCCTTCTCAGAGAAGCAGCCTGAGCTTTCCCACCCCTGGTCTTTGGCCAAGCTGTTCCTCCCCCTGAAACACTCCTTGACTCTGTGTAAGAGCCAGTTCCAGTTGCCACAACCTCTGCCAAAGCTGACCCAGTCGAGAAAAATGAAATGCATTCTCCTATTACTATAGTATTCTTTAAAAAGCCCTGTTCATTTTCTCCCTTGCAGTAGACACATCATGTCTATGTGTACGTCCAAATCTCGTACTAGACTGTAAACTCTGGAGGGCAGGGATCCTGTCTCCCTGCAGAGAAACTGACCTGATGCTGGATACTCTTAAGTGTGGAGGTGGGTAGGGAGACTCTCACTGGAATCTGGGAGAGGCAGACATGTCCTCTCCAGGTCAGGCAGGACATCCCCTTTCCCACCACATCATACAATGGTCATGAAAGGTAGGGACAACCTTAGAAAGAAGAGAGCATCCCACTGTGGGCTCTAAGTGGGGGCAGCTGAAGCTGATTGAATCAGGCAGGGAAAAGAGGATGTTACAGATAGTCGCAAGAAGGGGGACGTTCATATCCTGAAAGCCATTATTGAAACACATCCTTCCACACCCAGACTCCACTGGTGAGTGGAGTCCTTGAAATATAACTCAATTGCTGGCATACCTTCCCTTAACGTCTTCCAGAGCTTTAGTGGCTCTCTTCAAATAAAACTGAGAACGATTTCTGTATACAAAGCCAATTATTCAAGGACCAAAGACTCTATAAAAACTGCCTGTTTGACTCTGTCTCCTACACCCCCCCCCCTCCCCCGGCCCAACTCTTTCACCACACTCTAGCCACAGGTCCCCATTCTAGACCTTTGGTCTTCCTGTTTTTTCTGCCTAGAATGTTTTTTTCTCCAAATCTCTCCAAGATTAGCTTGTAATTATCTTTCAGATCCAGGCCTCTGTGAGAGGCCTTGCCTGATACCAAATCTTAGGTATTTATGCTGTCATTTTCTTTTTTTTTTTTTAAAGATTTTTTTATTTATTTATTTGACAGAGAGAGAGAGAGCAAGAGCAGGAACACAAGCAGGGGGAGTGGGAGAGGGAGAAGCAGGCTTCCGGCGGAGCAGGGAGCCCGATGTGGGGCTCGATCCCAGGACCCTGGGATCATGACCTGAGCCGAAGGCAGACGCTTAACGACTGAGCCACCCAGGCGCCCTATGCTGTCATTTTCTATCACAAGAATCTTTTTTACATATTGGCTTTGGCTTTGCAATTCTGTTTTGTTTTGTTTTGTTTTGTTTTTGATTGTTTGCTGATTGGTCCACTGACTGTGAGTCTACTCCTAGCAGGAAGTAAACTCCAAGAGAGTAGGAAAGGCGCCTGCCTCCTTCATTGTTCTTTTCCTGGCATCTGGAATTCTGGGGGTCACATAGTAGGCACTGTATCAATAATTGTTGACTGGGGGGATGAAAGCATCTCTTCTATTTATCCAGACATCATTGAACTATTAGCAAGAAGGGTCTAGGATCACTCACTTCCTCGTTATGCTCTGAAACAGCAAAAGCCAGCTTCACCTACTCACCAAGTGGTTCTGACAAATACAGCAGCTCTCATTTCCCACCAGTGTCTCTCACCGTGCTTCCCACAGCCAGTCTCTGCTCCTTTCTCACACATTACCCTCTGAACAGACTGAAAAAATTCCAGTATGCTGGGAACAGAGTACCAGAGACTACCATATTGTTCCATGTGTGTAAAAGTGATTCACATAGGCTATAGGTGAATTAAAAATACAAACAAGAAACAAAACCAAAAACACAAAATGCTTTATTTTATGGATCTTTCCTGAAAGCTGCTATGTGAAAGTAATAATAATAATAGTAATAAAGGTTAAGTCATGTGGTCAGCACATTTAATTTGGAAGACTACCTTTAGAAGCTAAGCTACTTAGAGGAGACTCCATTACCATGATTAATCTTTCAGCAACAAACAAATCTCTAAATATGTATTGAGGTTAAAGAGGAATGATTAAGAAATGGGAGCAACACTCTGCAGACAGGAAGGATCTCTCGGGAATTCTCTATTCACTGGGGCTTTGATTGCTACCTACAGATTAGAATAGTTTGCAGGACAAGACATCTGTATATAGACTGAATTTTTGTTAATTACTTTGGCTTCAAAACCTCCCAAATTTTAGTCTACATAATTACTCAACACAAAGCCAACAGTACTTTATAAGTGATTTAAAGATTTGCAAGAGTTAATTCTGATACATGATTGTCACTTTGTCATTTAATTCCTAAATAAGACCCCACATTGTTTTAGATTTTATAGCACCCTTTTTCATGAACTACTTTACTGGGTGTTCAAGGTATCCCTGCAAAAGGAGTGATACTGTCTTCATTTAAGAATTCATGCAGGCTTACTATCCAGTTTCAAGTGGAAATATTGGAGTTTTTTCCAAAAATATGTATAGTAGTTTGTTTTTGTTTTTGTTTTTTTTTTAATGCCCCTTTCTGTATTTAAGGCTTAAGTGAAATTTTACATTAACTCTGGGCTTGGCCATATGACTTGCTTTGGCCTATGGGGCAGTAGTAAATGTGTCCAAATGGATTGAAAAGTGCTTCATTTGGGCTCCCTCTCTTGCTGTTCTCTGAATTCTGGGACTTCCATGTGAATAAGATGATGCAGGATCAGAAACACATAATCCAATTGCTTCCATCATATTCAACCAACAGACAACTAACACCCAGAAGCAGAGCCGCAAAAATGACCATCAGCTGTCCCCAGGTGCTTGAACAATTCTAGTCAAGACCAGAAGAACCATCCACCTGAGGTCAGCTTAAGTTGCCGGCCCACAAACTAAATAAATAGACCCATGAACTAAACAAATGCTTGTCACTAAGTTTGGGATGGTCTGTACTGCAGCAAACGCTAACAGATACAACATGAGAGTATGGTGACAAGATGGTCGATCTTGAGGAAAAGAGCTTAGCGTAGCCCAAACTTACTTAGACTGTTGGTAAGAATATGCAGGTGCATGTTCGTTGGATGTGTCCACTGCTATCTGTTGCTGCTGACCACTGGTGTCCTGGGATGAAGGTGCCACTGTCTGGGGAGAGGTATCAGCAACAACACCCTAAGGAGGCAAATAAGAACACAAAAGCCTTACTGGCTTTAGCAAAGGGCCTTCTTCCAGATGGACTATAGGGAATATCCCTCTTCTACTTGGCTTGAGTAGAGTTGCACTCGGCCAAATGAAGCTACAGGAAGTACCCCAGGGAAAACCACAGAGCACATCTGGATAAAGGCTGAGGAATTCACTTCAATGTGTCACCAAGAGGCCTTGTCTTCAGAAACCTCTACTGTAGTCAAATGGTCAGAAAACCATTTTCACCAAACTTAGAACTTTTAAACCATGGTTGCATATAGCCACACTAAATAATAATTAATCAAAAGCTCATGCAGGATTCCTATAAAAACTTGTATATTCAAATATTTCCCTGGGGTAGTGTACCGTGTCATGTCATGTCTCTTTGACTTGGCAAAACAATGGACCTAAAAAGAAAAGAAAGGAAAGGAAAGAAAAGAAAAGAATACATAAAAGCTTGGAATTCTTTTAAAAGGCTACTGTTAGGTAGGTTTTCCCTTCAGCAATTTGGTTTGTTTTGGTTTGTTTTGTTTTCTACAACATGAACTAGAATTCATTTCGAGGTTTCAGAAAACAGACATCCTTAATCTTGATTTGCTACTTCTCTCACCCTCTCGTTTCTCACAGATGCCAACAAGGATGCCAACAAGGAGTGGATCATCGTTAGGGATAGATGTTTGCTTCTGAGAAAGGCACAGGTGGTTTTATCTGGCAGGTGGGAGGCCTAGAGAAGGCATCTCTCTGAATATGTTCTCTTGGTTTTACTCATAGCCTTGGACACCTACAGTGATGTCAGGTTTCAAACGTTTTGGTCAACTCTCTATCCCTAACTAAACTGTTCCTTAGAATCCAAAAGTTCTCCCTATATTACTTCAATCTTTTTTTTCCCTAATATACTATTTGGTATTACTCATTTTTCTGAAAGTCCCACTAGCATTTATGTGTGCGGATATTGGTGAATATTCAATGAGTGTTTTACATAGAAAAGAGATCGGTGCTTTTTCTATACGCACAAATTCAAAGCGATATATTAAAGTGTACCTCCATTTTTCTTAGTGAAAGACTTTTATTTATTTATTTTTTTGTAATCGTTATGCCCAATGTCGGGCCTGAACTCACGACCCTGAGATCAAGAGTTGCTTACTCCACCTACTGAGCCAGCCAGGTGCCCCAACCCAAAAGACTTCTTTTTAACTATAGACTTCTTCTTTATAATTAGACTGTTTCTAATAAGTCACACTGTCAAATGTGTCCCATCATTTTATAGTCATCAAAATGCTCAAATTCTCTAGATAAGCATATCCATATGTCAGTGTAGACAAAGAAGAATGCAAATATGTGGTAGAGATCTATGCTTAAAGTGCCTAGAATGTCTAGATCCATTAACTGATGATCTAGCTGCTTTTTGCTGGGTCAAATACAGCAACAAACAAACAAACAAAACAAAACAAAGCAAATCCCACATCTATTTTAAACACATAGTCTTGAAATTCTGAAGAGCCAATTAAAACCTGATCAATACTGACACATTCTTTGGGGCCCACAGGTCTAGAGCACATAAAAGATCTAAAACTGGACCTCCTTGGCTTCCTAAATTACATGATGGTATTCTCTTAAACTTCTGTTTTTCCCAAACCTTGGTACTAGCAAACATCTGGCATGTACCAAACAAACACTGGGTAAGATCCAGTTTATTCTGTGAAGGTTTCCCCAATCTCTGTAGTTGTAGAGATTGAGCAAGTCATGGTAGCCTTCTATGTGGAGTGGTTCCAGCAGCCTAGTTGGCAGGCAACTCATGGACTAGCAATAGCATGGACTCCAGAGGAGTCCCTGCCGTTGGGAAGAAATGCACTGTGACCATCATGGCAAACGCCATCAGGAGAAGGGGAGGAGTGGCAAGAGACAATGACGGCTAGGACTAGACAGAAATATACACATCTAAGTGTTTTACCACTATCTATATAGCTCTATGCTCTCTTCTTTCCTATGTAGCTTGCTGGCTCTGTCCAGTAAAGTCACGTGTACAGGGGATGGATTCAGCCCAATGGAAAGAGAGAAGGAAAGGAACAAAGTTTCCATTAAAGACAAAATGACTTCATCATTTGAGGTATCCACAGCCATAAGAGGGTGCAAATAAATCGGAATCTGGGGATGGGACCCAGGCATAAATATTTTTTAAAGCTCTCTAAATAATTGCAGAAAATAATATACGGAGAAGTTTGAGAACCAGTGCACTAATGTGAACATAGATTCCCAAGGGAGCTTGTTAAAATGCAAATTCTGATTCAGTCAGCCTGGGTGGTGTCTCAGACTTTGCATTTCTAACAAGCATCCAGTGATGCTGCTGCTGCTGCTAGCCCAGGGACCCTCTTTTGAGTAACAAGGCACCAGCAAACTCATTCAAATAGTTGCAAACATGTTTTCCTGCCCTATTCATGAGTACTTGCGGTTAACCTTTAATGGGGTAGTGATCTGGTCTCTGATCTTTTAAGTATAAAAACGATACTCCCCTTTTACCTCTACAGCAAATTGGTTTATTTCGTGGGCAAAGCACAATGTAGGCATGTTGGTGCACCTTCATACAGTGAACTTGCAATGTCAAATTTTAGAGCGGCACAAAACCACACATAAAGATTGCTTGGGTTATGGGGGCCCACGTACATGCGGCTGAGATTTGTCATCCCTACCTCTTTCTATAAGACAGGGACAGACTTACTTCAATAGAAACAGCTGTCGGAGGCACAGGCGTGTACTGGGGAAGGTAGGTCCCTTGCATAGGCGCGGCAGCAGTCATATACTAGAGAGAACCAAAGAAAAATGCAGGTGAACTTGAGATTGCAATCAGCGAGGAAAGTAGGTATCACATGAAACTGCTTTAGGTGTGTAGCCCACAGCCAGTGCATTATTACGCTCTATTTCCACCAACAACGGGGCAGTTCCTATCAGCAGAGAACGAGCTTGGCTTACTGATTCAGCCTGAGCAGCAGCCCACCTCCACAGTATTGGTGCGGTATCGTCCCCCTTCCCTCACTTTGTCTTTGTAGCCGTTCTATCTTAGATCCTAACATGGCAGTTTCATGTCTGAAACATACATTCCATAAGGGCAGGGAGGATGTCTGTCTTTTTTTCCTTCTCATTTTATTGCTAGCACCTATCACACAGTAGGCTCTCAACGAATCATTTGTTGAATGAATGAATCATCAGATTGTTAGCGATCATTTCTTTTCTAACTAAAAAAAAAGAAAAAGAAAAATAGAGGAATAATGCAAGCGATGCGCATGTAACAGTATTCAGAATTGGCGCATGTTCTCATTTTGTCATTTTCCTACCACTTTTTTTAGGTGCAAAAGAAATAGTATTACAGATAATGACAAAGTCTCCTTTGTGCCCTTCCCCCCTTTCCATGCTCATGTCACTGGCAGTGTTTTTCTTTTCAACTCCTTTAATTCTCCAAATGTTCTTCATCTGGATGGACAATGAAACCCGTCAAACCATTTTTCACTAAGTTGTAGTTTTCAGTAAACATGCGTTGGGAATAATAACCTGCAGTTTTGCATTGCAGAAAGGGAGCCCCAGGAAAATTACTTGCTCACCCACATAAGCCAAATTCCATATTCCCATGTCTAATGCCTATCTCCCCTGCAAATTCAACATTCTACTCTTTGAAAATAGAATTTTCTATGGAATCAGCTGTATTCCTGAGCTTCTAAACTTGACCTACATTACAAAACATCAGAGCCAGCATCATCTACTGAAGACAAGTTTTCTCCATTCACGAAGGTTAGAGACATGATTTTGATGGAAAACTGCAAGGCTCTGCTACTTTATTCTTCTAAATTTGCTGGTTCAAATATAAATGCCAAGCCTCAATGTGCAAAACTTAAATTACTATGTTTTGTGTATCCTGGTCCTTTCAGTGTGCAAGCGACGTAATGGTTCTGAATCAAGGGGAATATCTGAATGGAGATGAGCTCATCAGTTGTTCAGTTGTTGGTGTTGTTGGTCGGTATTCAGGGAGAATGATAGCAATTAAGCAACTCTGGAATAAATGTATTTCCATCCTAAACTAAAAACTGTCTTACTGTATCTACTTGCTAAAAATAGAGACAGGCTTAATGAAACAACCCTAAATCAAACAAACCAAACTGTTGTCTATAATCCACATGTAGCAACTAATAACTGGGTAACACTAATGACAACTAAGTTCAATTCCAATCTATATTAAACAAAACAAAACAAATCAAAAAAAAAACTTGTCACTTGGACCAAGAGCAACTATTTGAATGGCCTGAAGATATTACTAATTTCGGTTTACACTTAAAAATCACCAGAGATTTCTATGTATTATCTCCTGTGTTCTCACAGCAGCCATCAATTTTCTATTGCAATTGTCCAGACTGTCGTCTCCTTAAAGGCACGGGCCAAACTCTTCATGTCTCTGTATCTTCCAACACACCATGCCATGCCTGATACTCAATAAATAATTGTTCAATGGCTGAAGAAAAAGTTGCAAGAAGAAAGCCTTCCATTTCCAGTTACAAATCTTGCATGCCCTTAGCTGTTAATAATTCTGAGCTCACTGTAGATAGTAATTTCATCACGCCCATAGTTTATTTGTATAACCTTTAAACATATACTTTAGCCAACTCTGCTCATTATTGTCCTTGTGTCTTAAAGCAGACATAAGTACTCAGGTATGTGATTGCTATCAATTTTTCAAATAAGTATAGAACTCGGGAGTCACCTTTCAGCAAATATATTCCACATCTAGAGCTCTACGGCAGGTGTCTGCCTTGCTAACAAAACTGCTCTAGGAAGTATTTTGGGGATAACAGTTCAGATAGGTGTTTTGCTTATATTATATAGGTTATTAAAATCCTTTGAGCATTTTCTATAATGTTTATTTTTGAATGGTAGCTCAGCTGAGGAAAGAGCTGTGTTCTAGTGCATTCTGGCAAATGCTACCGAATGTATCTTCTTTTGTGATATTGACATACAATAAAAACTGAGAAGTCAAGTTTTATAGCAGCCTATTTGAAGATGATTAAGGGGCGCCTGGGTGGCTCAGTCATTAAGCGTCTGCCTTCAGCTCAGGTCATGATCCCAGGGTCCTGGGATCGAGTCCCGCAACTGGCTCCCTGCTCTGCGGGAAGCCTGCTTCTCCCTCTCCCACTCCCCCTGCTTGTGTTCCCTCTCTCGCTGTGTCTCTCTCTGTCAAATAAATAAATAAAATCTTCAAAAAAAAAAAAAAGATGATTAAGACACCATTCCTTCTTTCCCTCCTTCCTTCCTTCCCTCCCTCCTCCTTCCTTCCTTCCTTCTGGTAGCATTTACTAATTTTGCTTAGAACTAGTTGCTGGAGGGGAGGTGGGTCAGGGGATGGGGCGGCTGGGTGATGGACATTGGGGAGGGTATGTGTTGTTGTGAGTGCTGTGTGTTGTGTGAGACTGATGAATCACAGACTGGTACCCCTGAAACAAATAATACATTATATGTTAATTTTAAAAAAAGAACTAGTGCTCTAAGGAACATACTTTGGAAAATGCTTCTCTAATTGAATCTTGAAAGCCTTAGTAGATTTTTAGCAAGGGGGAATATATTTTTGCCAACTATGAATCTATGTAAGCCCAGAGCTGATTCTATTGGGACTCATGTTCTATTTTCTGGGCATGGTTTTCCAAGACTTATAATATACTAGTAAAAGAACACATTGATTTGAGTATTTTCTATTCCAAAGTTAGTAATTCCAAACTTTGCAACTGGGTCTAATAAGTGAGAGTGTATCTTTTGCCTGAGAATATGATACCACTGGTACTTACCTATAGGACACTACTTTGATCTGTCTGCATCCCTCAGGAGCCATTTCTGTGAGTTATAAGTAGGGGCATGGCCTGGGTCACTCAGAGCAACACTCACTAGTTCTCTAGTTCACTAGTTTACCAACCTCCCTTGCCAAACTAGAGTTCTCAGACAGTGTAGTTAATGAAAAGCATTTTATGTGATTCTTAGCTAATCTTCTTCAAATAACTCTGACTTAATTCAAACCCTCATCTGTGTTTTGTCTAGTAGAACTGAATCAGTGTATTTTCACAACTTCCAAGACATTCAGTGAAGTTGTAAACATGGCCCAGACTGAACTGCTTATGGCACAAATTCATACTCCTCTTTAGAACAATGCGGTGAGCTAGGAAGGACGGCTCACCCATTTTACAGATTGAGATAAGATCCCGTGTAATAGGAATAAACTTCTGTTCTTCTGACCCATGACTGAGGACACTTTTCAGTCTACTTCTTTATCTTTGAAATTAAGTAAATAAGGTCTTAAGACTTTCCTTTAGATTGTTTCCATCTAATATAGATGTCAAGATGGTTTGTTGTTGTTGTTGTTGTTAATGGGCTGGAAAAACTGGAGATCCAATTAAGAAACATGGAATGATATGCTTTGGATAATATTTTTATTGCCATTTCATTTCCATGCATTTCTTAAATTTCACTTCGTACTCACAATACCTAAGTTTCTTCCAGGAAGACTACCCTATATGCTTGTTTTACAATTTAACTTACTCTTCTGCTACTCCTCTGAACAGAACCAAGAGAGATTTTATAGTATTAATGACATCAGCTCAGTTTAGTGTGCTGTATCTTTTAATGAAAAAAAAAAAATCTTTTTTTTTCCCCCCTCACAGAAAAGATAATAGACAGAGTTTGAGAACATTGAAAATTAGGGATAGGCTTATTTTAAACGAGTCAATACTGTGGAGCTTTATGCCCCATAAGATTATTTCTGGATAAACTTTTGCAATAAAACTCTGCAGTAGTAGACACATATATTCTAGGGTGAAGCCTCCAGAAGTGACAGCTTTGTAAAACTTGGAGCAAATGCTTACAGGAAATGGCTCCAGCTATGTGTAAGATCAACTCCCAGCTTTAGGTAATTGGTGACAAATAACTCTGAACCTTCTTGGCAAGCACAGTTTGATTTCCTTAAGAGCACAGATAAACTACAGTCAGACTTAATAATCCAGGCTGCACAAACACTGTTTAGATCTGGATGCCTCAGAGACTTATTTTATCCAGCTAACAAATGACAAAAGACTAAGAGAATGCCCTGCGATATAAGAAATCTGCCCTTTCGGCTTGATAAATTCTGGTGGATTACTTATTAAAACCATACCAAGAATGGATGTATATCCTTTAAGCTAATTTCTTTTATTGGTATGTTTCAAAGGCTAGAAAATATCTGCCACCATTCTTTCATGAGTGCAACTTATTTTGCATTTTTTGATACAATGGCTGATGAGAACCACACTGCAGTGAGATGATGTGGATAAAAGGAGTACGTCCATACGATATTTCCTTGTTGGTAGCAACCCAAGGTTTAGGCATGAATGGAGAAATTTTATGGTTTTGGTAAACAGCTTGATTATTTTTACATCTTCTAAAAGCACTGGATTTTCACATGTAAGTTCGAAGGAGACCTGAATAGCCATTTTCAAACCCACAGAATAAATTCCAGACTCCATCACTTGTTCCAAGAAGTCTAGACGCTGCATCACCAAGATAGTTACACAAAGATAGAAAAAAAAAATGGTGAAATTGGAGAGGAATTGTGTTTTTGCCTATTTAAGTCAGGACAAACTGTTTCTGTTACTGTGGAATCATTGATTATTTCAGAGGAAACAAAACTCCACATTTTTAGTTCTGGATTTACTTTCTCTTCCCCCACCAAAGCAAAACAAATATGTTTTATATATTTCCTGTGAGGAAATTTTCGTTTAATAATTTGTAGAGCAAGGG